CCACTTACCCGCTTATTATTTTTTATAATTATGTTAAAGTAATATTTATAGATAAATAAATAATAAAATAATAAATCTCCAATTATAATAATTTATAATAAATGTATGTATAGATAAAGTATGTGCATACATGTATAAATTCAGTATTAATTTCGATTATAAGTCAAATAAAAAAAGTCGTCGGTTTTATTTTTGTATTTCCCGTTACTAATCGGTTACAACGAATGCTCGTTCTAACCGCATATAACGAGCTACCGGTTATAACGAGAAAAACTACCTGGCCCTTGAAACTCGTTATAACCAATTTCTACTGTATTTAACTTTTTTTAAAGTTGAAATTTTAAATATTTCTGATATTCAACATGTGCATATTAAGATATAGTTAATGATATCCAATACAGAACTACAACTCATGTAGATAATTCATAGACACATGATTTTGATTATTTTGTTTCTAGTTGACCAATATCTGATTAAGATGAAGGTCTCAGTGATATAGGAAATAAAATTAAGTGATACAATTTTCATAAAAAAAATTGTAAGGTTTTTATTTATACATTTTTAATGTTTTTATTTTTATTTATAGGTAGTGAAGTGAACTAGCAAGAATTGGAGGAATACCAATAGAAAATATTGTGATATATACAAGATGTTTACTATTTTACTTGAATTTATATATTATGGTTTAAGAATAAAGGATAATTTTTTTATTATTGGCAATAAATTAGATAGTAGTTGGTGAGTTTTATATTTGTTAATTTTTATTCTATATTAACTCTGAAATGGAGTGAATGTTTATTTATATTACCTCTTAATCAGTAAAATAATTACAATATGACGATTAATTTCAAAGTAACGATATATTAATTATAATAGAGGTATAGATAATACATTTATAATTATTAATTTTATAGGTTTTGTGTCTGAATTAAAAAAATATAATATTTTCTTTTAATATATTAATATAAAATAGAAAACTAGGTATATAAATATAAATATAATAATAATATAATAAATATAATAATATGTATAATTGAACCTAATTTTTTTTGGTTTCTTAAATATGTAATCTGTAGTTATATAATTAAAATGCCTATTACCTAGTTATTTTTATTGTGATAAACAAAACATTTATTTAACTAATATACCACAAATTCATTCCTTCTCGTCATAATATAAGCGGCAAGCGCACAATACAATATGCAATTTTTATAACTTAAAGTTTATAAATTAATTATTATTTATTCTTATGCAATATTTAATTTAAGAATTGAAATTATTTTATTGTTAATTTCATATATTTGTAATATATCTGTATTTGAACCTTAAAGGCGTTTATTTTTAGTAAAATATTAACTAACATATATTATATGTTATTTGTTATATAAAACTAGGTATATTAATTAAAGTAATTCTAAAATATTCATATACAGTCTCCGCTCAAAATGTTTTTTATCATACAACATTATATAATTCAATTCAAATTTAACTTCTACACTACACATCTGTTGAGTTATAATGCACAGAAAAGCAGTTATTAGCTTAACCGTCTTTGTTTTTTTTTTTTAATTTTGAGTCTGATATTTATCTTAATATATTTATGAATATCATTTAAATATTTATTAGTGTTTGAAAATTTTAGTTTTTCCTGATTGTTTAAAAAAGTACCTCAACCAAATAATACATCCATATGTACCTATATTTATATTATATTATAATACTTACTTGAGTAAAAAAATTTAGAAATTATTCCAATGATGATCAGTAGTCATTGATTACATAACAGCTCTTAAAATGGTTAACTGGAGCAAAAAGAAAAATAACATAAATATTATTATTATAGTTACCTATTTTTCATATTATTTTAATATATTATATATATATGCATTTTATATGCTATTTACAGCAACTATACTAGTCATAATATGTTCTTTAAACCTATTAAGTACTAATTTGCTTTTTGTTCATTTTTTTCCTGTGTTAATTTTTTTTTATTGTTTATTTTGAGCTCTTTTCTCATACATTGGTTTGTTATTTGTTATTGTTAATTTATTTGTTGCAGTTGAGCTATAATAATTTTATATTGGTGGCTTTAATAAATAAAACAAAAAATGTATATTATATGTTATAAAAATCGAAATAGTCAATTTGTGAATTTGTTGTATAATATATTGTAATATTTTACCTCAAAATATATAACGCACATTGCTGAATTGAATATTTTACTTGTTTGCTATTGATAGATAGATTTTATAGTTGTTTATCAAATGTAAATAATTATTAGTACTTTTATGCCAATAATAGATGTTGGTGGTTAGTGGATATTTACATGTATATATATATTATTCTTTGACTTGCAATTTTTAATGCGAGGAGTTTTTGGATATTCAATGATTGCCGACAACGATGTGGTAGTGACAAGACTCACTAATATATTATATTATATTATAATTAATGATTATTTTCCATAAAAACGTTTCTCTTTTTTAGAAATTGGCTTATTCATAATTTAATTTAATATACACTTGCCTTAATTTACATCTCCACAGGTTACAAATATTACTTTTAATGTATTGTAACCACTTTTGACCTTTGGGGTACTGTAAAAGTTTTTAACAAATCCAACAATTCCAAAAAATGGCTCTTCTTAGGAAGATGACGAATGTTTCACTCTAAATACCAAATTACACTTTATATAATGAAATATATCTATGAATAATAATATGATATAATTAAATCTATGAAAACTGTAATACAAGAAGCTGCACGTTTCTACACAAATTTCCATTTCTGTGTCCGATCACAATATAATCAACTTATAAAAACCTATCCACCCATACCTTACCCGAGAACACAGGTGTTGGCGGTGTTGCTTAAAAAGGAACTAATATTATGACTTGCTAGGAAACTAATAAAAGTAAAAATAAAACATATTCTATTCAGGTACCAATATATTATGATTTTATAGACTATAGATGAATAATTAAACAACTCCTAGTCAAGTACCACTAACAAGTGGCTTCTGATTGCTAAACTCAGAAAAAAAAAATTGGTCCCATAACCACATACTCTTATTGTGCTAAATTTAGGATAGATTAATTATTACGGATTCTTATGAATAATAATAAATATATTTACACATACATATAATATATAAATAAATATTATATAGGTACCGTTTATTCACCAATTTAGGGAACACTGAATTTCTCGGCCGAATTATGTTGGAATAAATCGAATTTTTTTTAAAAACTAGTGGTACATAAATACACATTTTCAGATAAATTTAAAAATTTTAACCCTCTCGGTACGCGCATGCGCAACGGATTTTATTTTTATTTATTAACAGCAACCGGAATTTTTGATACCAAATTCGGATAGACTGAATTTTTTAAGTCATTTTGATCGATTAACCATGGTTCTAAAACCAAAATTGACTGAATGAGAACCATTCAACTTTTAATAAATAATACATTTTTTTTTTTTTGTCTGTCATCACGTTTTGGGACAGTAGAACTATAGAAGTGCTTCGATTTTCGACTTCAGTACTTCGTTCGATTAGAAAATGAATCTGGTTGGTACTTTGGTGGATCAAAAGTTAAAAATTCCCAATATTTTTCTTAATAATTGGGATAAACAAACTAAAAATTAAGGAAATCCGGAAATTTTTACACACAATCAATTTTCGACAAAATCTATTTTGGTTTTTGATGTAACTTTAAAGTAAATGACCATAGTTACATGAGTACACGACATGAATGTTTATATAAGTATATTCTATACACCATGCAATTTTCAAAAAATGTCGACTTAAGTTGAACTATATTTATAGGCATCTGCAATTTTCGATCATTATTAGTTTTTTTTAAATTAATATCAATACAAATTTATTTGTTGGGTAGAAATGCTTGAAAATTTAATGCAAGGCTCCTAACATATTGTTGCAATAACAGTTGAAAAATAAAAGAAATTCGTGGTCACAATTTGGCGAAATACGTAAAAATCACAAAAATTCACAAATTATTTTAAACTAGAAATTCATAAAAACATTTTCTTTTAAATCTAAGATTTGAAAATTTAATACAAAATTTCTTACAAGTTCTTCAATCTTTATCACAAAAAAATGTCCACCAGAAATTCAAATTACATTTTTATGAGCGTTTGAAATTTAAATTTTTACAACATTATTGGATTTTCACTAGATTTAGCGATTTTCTTGTTTTAGTGTAACTCTAAAACAAATGACCACAGATACTTAAAATGTTCACTGAATGTTAATATAGATTATATTGATTTTCTATATGTATTTGATAAAATTTTCAAAATAGATAGATAAACCGTCTCCACTCAGAATTGTTTTTCGTATTCAAAGATGTAATATCATTGGATTAAAATTTAATTCCATCCATTACATACAGTAACCCACTTGTAACCTACTATACAGCCGAGAGTGATATCCACTTTTCCGCTTTTTTACAATTAATTATAAAATGCATACAACCATTTAAAATTATTTATTATTGGTTACTTTTTGAATATTTTTACGTATATACAGTTGTAATTAATTTTAATTAAATAATTTTATAGGTCTATATCATATTATGTTAATCTTATTTATTATAATATGCATAAAAAAAAAAATTAATATTTACAAGTACCTAATTTGTTTTTGACGAAATTTAAACTATATTCAACTTATTTTACTTATTATAATATCTAATAATATTGTTAWATACCTGTTTGCACACGGATAAGATATTATCTTATATATATATAAACACTTTTTTATCGTAATTTACTCTAATTTTTTTCATTAATTCTTCTGAAATAAGACTGCAGCTAATTGAATATGTTGAATTTAGTTTAAATTTCGTCAAAAACAAATTAGGTACCTACTCTTAAATATTAAATTTCATCGTTAAATTTCAAATGTCAATTTTGTAATTAAAAAAAAACTTTTCATACATAAATTGTTAAGAAAAAAATACTCTATCCGAATATTTAAAAAAGTTGGTGTTACCATTTAAAAAAAAGTAAGTTGTATCGCTCATGCGCGTATCAAAAGTGTTAAAAAATTGAAATTCATCTAAAAATGTGTATTTGAGTATTATCTGTCATTCATCAGCGAAAACCTCATTTCAATACAAGGTAATCTAACTGAAATATTTAGTCGTACCTTTTAGCGTGAACACACACTATATAGTCGTGGGTTGTGGGTATAGATATATATTTTATCCGTTTAACATTTGAGTACGTAACTTATTTTTATAATCATCCTAATCCCCAACTAGATTCGCCTTTTTATAGGTGGTACCAAAAAAAGATGATGAAATAGAAAATCCAAGCATTTTTATACTGACTATTACTGTCTCAAAAAGTGATGACAGTCTCAATGAACTAGTGACTACCTATATCTAGGTACCTACTTARTGCAGCTAAAATCGTGATACAACAATAAACAATGTACATAGGGCCAGAGTTTTAATACGAGGATTAATTATTATCCGTCTCTGGGCCGGATTGGTTAGGCGAGCTACCGAGAAAATCTCGGTGGGCTGCTCAAAAAAAATGTCGATCGTAAGTGTTTGGGCAATTATTTCATAACACGAATTTGAATACATTTATTTAACTCTGTGTGCTACGTCAAATCTAGATCAATTTATACATGTTTATTTGAAAAAGGCCTCTTTTAGGGCTGGTTAAAAAACTAAAACTCGGCGGGCCGATACCCTTGTCTATCCGGCACTGATCCGTCTACGTGTTCGGTATATTATCAACATCGATACGATTTCGAATATTCGGCC